ATATTTTTAGCTTTTTTTTTTAAAAATAATGTTTATATGTATGTCAAAATTAAAAAAAAAAAGAAAATGTAAAATGTTCACGCATACATAAAATGTCATTATGTTTAATTACATTAATATATATCAAACGTCCATAATAACGGTGATTGAATCGAAAGGAACAAGGGTTTGTCATATTAGAAACTTACAGAAATTCCATAACCTTACATCAAACCTAGCTGGCAAAAACATATAATGCACGTGGGTAGCCTTTTCACAATAGTGTATCTGAGGAAACTAAACAACAATCGATAAGCAAGCCAAAAAAAGTACTCAACTCGTATCCAACTCAACTTATCATGGAGACCACGGTGACGTTACGCAAATTAAATAAAAATATAGTTCATAAACGAAGACAGCAAAAAATGGGATAACATCATGCATTCATATACAAACTTAGAGAAATAAAAGCATAGGAAGTTAGAAAATTCCAACAGTGGTTAGACTTTGCACGTAGAAACGATATTATTTATTATAACCAGAGCACAAATTAAGTGCCATTCCACTTAATCATTCGTACTTGACTGCCCATATCCAAGGCTGGGCATTAACAAGTTAAAAATTAAAATTAAGTTAAAACGTTAAGTTAATTAACTCGTTACTTTTATTACAAATTAACTTTTAACTTAATAGTTTACTTTATTTATAAGATAAACGTGTTAACTTTAAGTTAATTTTATTTAAAAGTATCTAAATGAAGTTAATTTTAATGCAAAGAACAATGCTAATTATTAATTGAGGTTTTTAGAATATTTATAGATTACTATTTTAATATGAACTTTCTGTAGACGAAAATAATATGAAAAATAACTTTAATAGTCATTATATGGGCTATATTTTATCATTATATTTTTATAACATTGTTATTGTATAAACACCATAAACCAATGAAATTCTAAGAATATTCTGTGAAAATAGTAAGTACCACGAGAATGAGTGTCGATGAAGGATTAATCACAAAACAACTGTGGCATAATTTTCAATTTAATTTCATTATTAAAATTGTAAATTTATTTGAGTATGAGTTCAGGACTAAGATTTGTTTTAGAAAAATAGGTTTTTTGATAGCTAGTTAATACTTTTATGTATCATTTTAAATTTTCCCAGTTATTTTTTTGAGCGTAAAAAAACTAATATTATGTGTGTTTTATTTTTATTTTTGCAAATTAGAAAATTTTAACTTTAAATTAAGTTAAGTTACTTTTTTCTTCAAAGTTAACTTCTAACTTAACGAGTTAATTAAAAAAATATAAGTAACTTTTAATTTAAATTAACTTTATTATTTTAAAATAACAAATTAACGAGTTAAAAAAAAATCGTTATTTAGCCCAGCCATGCCCAAATCACTCTTATTCTATTTCAACATTTACCTATGCACGACACACATGTTATTAAGCATAAACGTATACGTTATACCAATAGGTATAGTATTAGAACATACATAAATGAGTTTTGCAAAAATTTTATTTAACAAATTATAAATATAAATATTTTATACCTTCGTTTGATGTTCGACTTAAAGGAGGTTTTTTTCTTTTTAATTTAATTTATGATACATTGATAGTAAATATTTATATAACCATTCTAATGAAGTGATGCCCATAATATAATGCACTCATTAGATGTAAACAAATATAATAACTCATATTAAATTTATATTCTGAGAAGAAATACAATAATAACATTGTTGGGATCGCGGTGAATTGGTCGCGAACAATTGATCGCCGGTGAATTGATCGCCAATGAATTAATCGCGAGTAAAATTAGTCGCCATATAAAATAATTTTTAATAGTTTTGAACATTTTAATATTGGTTTACAATCCAATATATATAAATATATTATATAGGTATATCAATGTTGAATAAACAGTAGATATTTAGTATATTATATAGGTATATACAAAAAACTCAATGGGTAGGTAACGTTTGTTGTAATACTTGTAATCAATTTTAGTTATCAAAGATGAAATTATTATTGCTATGGACTGGTTTTATCACAATTATACGACTTTTGTTGAATTACGATACTTGACTAACTAATATGACTCGGCATGGCGATAAATCTCGATATTGAAGGCGATTAAATTTCGAACAACAAAAATTCCATTTTAGTATTTTACTTTAACTATTGGTTGTACCCGTATACCGTACCTTCTATATAATATTTGTGTAGTATGCTAGTGTGTCTTGATGTATTGATTCTTATTAAATTGTATTAAATTGTAACGCATTTTCCATTTTTTAATAATGGAATTTATTAGGAGTGCAGCATTAATATAAATTTTATAATTATCAATTATTATTATTTACTTTTATTTTTAATTTAATTTTTATTTGTATGTATTCTGTAGTATAGTACTATAACTCAAAAATATTAAAAAATAATTTTTGTTTGGCGATCAATTCACCGGCGATCAATTATTCGCAACCAATTCACCGGATACCCATTGTTGATATATATTTATATAATAAGTATTCGCTAACAGTCTATAACATTAAATATGGATAAAAGCAAAAATCCAATATACAAAATAAACTCCACTGTTAATTGTTTGGCATACTTATATATATTTTAGAATTGGTGTCCACAAGACTACAAATAATTTATAACTTTTATTGTACATTTTTTTTTGTCATAATAATAAGTGATATAAAATTCAATGCACGTGATTCTATTACAGCATTTAAAAATCGTTTGTCCCTACCATAATTTTTCAAAACAATTCTTTATGTGATATTATATTCGTGTTATTTGCACTATCTATAAGATCATAATATGGGCTCCCTTCGATCGAATTTTTTCATGATGGCCTATGGCTAATTTAAATAAAACTTCGTCTGGTAAATAAAAAAACACACAAAAAAAAGTAACTTTTATCACACTTGGAGTCAATATTAACATCCTCAATTTTGCTAACCGAGTCATTACGGCAAAAGAAAACAGTAAAATAACAACGTAATACAGTTTTAAAAACAATGTATTAATAAGCTAATTTCACTGATATATTGATATATTATATTCGGATAAATATAATTTGAAATAACGATTTCAAAAATTTTACACAATTGTTATAAATTTTAAATAAAAATATTTTAAAATATAATTGAAAAAAAATAATTTGTTCTTTAGTTTTACTAAAAACGTAATATTTCGACCTTTAGAAGTCATTTTACCTTAATTGAGTATACATATCATAAAACGAATTTAATTTATACATTTATACATAGAAATAAATAAATAAATACTTAGCTTGGAGTATTATTATATTTGTAAAGTACGATTGGTTTCGAATTAAAAATTCATCGTCAGGTAAATACAAGGTTAAAAGGTCAATAAAGTCGCAACTTGAAATTGTTATCAAAATGTTTCAGACTAGAGGGCCAATGAATAAGATTCTTTAGTTGCTTAACAACTAAAAAGTTAACACGCAGTGACTGTAGTATTAGTATTATTCCTAAAGGGTTTTTAAACATTGAACCTTATTTGTTTTGCCAACTGTTGCTTTTTTGTTCACAATTGACTGCATTTTTAAATAAACGTTACAATTAATCTGTATTTTCAGGATGTATTTAAGGAATTATTTTTGAAAATGATTACATTTGGTAATTCTATTGAAATCCAATCAATCGATACTTATATTTGAATTATAAATTTAAATAGTTTTGGGTTGCTGATCGAATATTTTGTGTACTTTAAGCGTGTCAAAGACGATAGATGTATAACTATAATTTAATTTAATAGTTATTAATACAGAAAATGATGGATACTCCCAGTGTTGTAATACGACTATATGTTTCTTCATTTGAAATAGGTACTTATTATAAGTATTGAAACTGTTAATGGATTTCATAAAACAAAAGATATAATTTTAACTATAATTCAACAAAAATTTGCTCACAACGTGATGCATATTAAATCATGGATAAAATTCGTTTAAATATTTTTTATAGTTATATTACTGCACCACCAATATAAATTCTCGCTTAGCAGTTAACAGATATATTATTGTGTCGATATATTATATAATATATTATAAGACTTATAATTAGATCATGATTCCGAACAATTTTACAGAAAAAAAATCGACTTGAAAGTTTTATGATGACAGTAAGACATATTGATGGATATTACTAGCATTGTGTAATTTACAACGATTCTCATTTCTGTGTTTTATAATTGTCTTCGAATTAACTGATATCTGACAATGATATATTTTATACATTTTTCCTATTTTTACTCGAGTGAAATAAGTTTTATTTTAGACCCAATTTCGGTAAATATTACATTGTCAAAGGCAGCAAAAACGACGTACATTTTCTGAATAACCAGCGTTGGTAATTAAGGAGGCGCGTTCGCTTCAGGGCGTTCACTCGCTTTTGCCGATTTAATTACATTTTGGTTCACAGCTTTAAAACAGATCCGAATTTCAAATGTTTAATGAACTTCCCTTTTGTTTTATAGAACCCTTAAGATTCATCGGTCCCTTTTTATCTTATTTCCCTCTTCCCTCGTATCATACTATTGTCCACTGTACGTGTGTGCTGTAATGGGGCACTTGCTGTAGGCGGAAAACCATGATTTTGATGTGTTCAACACACCGTCTTCGCTAATTAGTGTGCATGCAATTTTTCATAGACGAATAAACTAGCAAATACAGCGGTCAAGAGGTTTATTTACCTCGTGCATATAATGTAATATTAAAAATAGATTCGAGTGCATTCGGTTACGATATCTGAGTAATTAGGAAGTCAAGTGATTTCGTATATAACCGATCATAAACGATTATTATAGCTATTCAGACGAATAATTGAATAAACGCGTTACAGATTACAGGGATATATCTCATATACACTTCTCTACTTTAGAAGTTTTTCAACCTTTACAGTAGTGCACATTATAATCGATACAATGTTTTGTTATCACTATGTTTTACAAGTAGTTAGACAAATGGGTACTCACATATTTGAAAATTTTTTGCTGCAAAAACTCGTTGAGGTTTTCATTTACAATGGCCGATATGTTCACCAATTTAATGGCAGCATGATAGCGAACGGAATCTGAAACAAAATAAAAATTATTATAATAAAATACATTAATATTATTGCAATGTCTACAAAGATCGTGATGATATTACAAATGCATATTGTATAATACATTTGAAGAATTCGTACTCATAAAGAATAATAGTTACACATATTTTAAAACGTATAGTACCTCTCTTGTATTACGAATACAGAAATTATTGACATCTTAATAGTATTTGTTACAAAAATATGTATATAAACTATTTGTTTATGATATATATATATATATATTTAAAAAGAATGATATAGTGTTTTGAATTTTTCAAATGTGTTTTGATTTGTCATGAATACTACCTTAACAGCGCAAGTATTCGGGATATTTATATTGATTGGATTCCTTCCGAATTTATTATTTAAAACGAATTCGCACAATACAATACAGTATATAAGTATACGCATAATTCCATTTTATTTACAATTATTAAATTAATATTCAATTTACATTAGCAAGTATACCGATATAACTTTGATTGATACAAATTAAATTAGCCATTGAATAATATGAAATGTGACATTATTAGCATCTTATGTACTTTTAAAATTGAAAGTGTCGTACTAGATATAGTCTTAGTCTCTGAAATACACGTATACTACTACAATATGCGAAACCAATAATATATCAATTGTTATATTATTAATTTGGATGTTCAATACAAATTACGCATACACTAACAAATAATAAACATTCATGAAGACGGAAAATCTCAAAATAAAAAAAATGCCTGTTTTCAGAGATAACGCATTTCTTATTATATATAGTACACATAAAATAACATTATATTTTATTTAATGGTTATAGGTTAGGCCGATGAATTATGGTAGAATAAAATAGAATCAAAAAATTGTTTCAATCTAAATAAATGGTTTTCTCTTCTATAAAATATCCATGCGGAATATCGTAACAGGCGTTTACATTGAAAGACAATGGACCACTAGTACTTGATAAAAATAAAAAATAAAAGAGAAAGAAAAAACTCACCACATGATAATATATTTCATGAACTATCAAAATCCACGAACAAGATGAAGGTAACACCGAATCCAAATCTCTTAGGTGGTAGGGTTAAAACGCAAGAAAAAAACCCTTAGACCTCAGTATGGAAAGTTGGTTTAGAAATATTGGTACAACTCCAGGGGTCGGCAGTAGTGGGTGAATTCATGGTAAAAGCCTGGTCCAGCATAGTAGGCCTACTATGGTCGTCATCAAGCGACTGCTAGGGCATAGGGATGGTGAGCTAGAGCTCTGTCCCCCAGCATCTACTAGAGCTACAAGAAGATGTCCAGGAGATACTGGAAAAGATAAAACTACAAGTTGAAGCAACATATGTCCCAACGTAGAAGTGGTAAAAAGGAAGATAAGTCGTAAAGAGGTGGAGGAATTTGTGCCAAATCCGTCGATAAAGTAATGGAAGAACTCGCCATATTCGAGGAAGCCGTGGCTGGTGCGCAACACACAAAAAAAAATGTGAGAGAGTTCAATGGGGCTAGTAATTTCAATAAGGATGATGATGAAGTATATGACACTAATGACATATTCCCACCTAGTCGTGACCGAAGTAACAAATTATAATACCAGCAACTTCAACAACAGTATATGCATTAGAACCAGAAGCAAGCGCAAATACAAGAAAAACAAAAGAAGCAGACTAAGAAATCGCAAGAAGCAGTAAACAAACTCCGTATTGTCCAATCCAATCCAATCCCATATCCAATAATTTACGAGTGTTAATCATTTAATGATTTTTAATTTTAATTTCTATTATTTTATTAGAAATAAAATGTTTAATTCAAATGTTCAAGATAAAAATAGTATATTTGTTTAAATAATACGTACGATAGTTCAAATTAAATTGGTGTTATACGTCATCTAGACTTGCACAATCGAGTTCGCCGTCTTAACGTAACAGCCCGCTATATATTTCGTGGACTTATTTTGAACGTCAAGTTTTAAAGTTAGCACTTTATTACCACACATTAGTCCAGATATCACTATACATTTTTTCCGTGGTTTTCATATCTTATTTAATACGATATAATATCGTACGCTAGAAGACCTATTCAACATGGTATGCATCGGAAGTTAAAGACTATGGGGATTTTCAAAGTATTATGCTTGTTTGTATTTAATGGAATAATTAAAATATAATACACCAACTAACCTATATTACAATATATTGTAAGTTCTGCTTTTAAGTACGATGAATTTCATCAATTTCATCTATGGTATGGAACAAATGTATAAAAGTCAAAAATCTAATATTTTTTGAATAAAATATACGTAAGTAGAGGTAAAAATATTAATATTTTACTTTATCGAGTTTTTGATAAAAAAAATTCAATGTACATTTTAATCACTATAAAAGTTATAAAGAGTTTTGGCTAGGTCATGATTTCTATATAAAAAATAATTAAAATAAAGTTTGCAAACAATTAAATTATTTAAAAAATGATTATAAAAGTGCGTAATCAAAAAATTTACTCTATCATTTTAAAATATGGAGATTTTAGGGTCGTTGGTGGTTAAATAAATTATTTAGGTATTAAACAACACGATTTTAAGAATGAATGAATAAAAAATTATTTTATTGGTTATTTTTATTATTATTTTAATAATATATTCAGTTGAATGTAACATTCTTAACCCTTTAAATTAATAATTTAAGTTTGAATAATCGTGTGAAATACTGATTAAGACATTTTGTTTAAATATTAAACATCTTGTAAGACATTTAGGGTAATATATTTTTATAATAAAGTTCAATAAAACATTTATTTTTTTTGTATTTCATATCCATTCAGTTTATATTTTAGAAAACATTGTAAAAGTTAATGAAATTATTATTATGCGAATGTTTAATTTTATTGTTTATGTGTTGCTGAAAATTTTAATTATTCAGTGTAAAATACTAATGTACGCAGTCGAGATTCTTTTTAAGTTTGTGTACTTATGTATTACTCTCCTATATAATACACATACATTTATGTTTATACTTTATATAATATGAAGATCACATACAATTGAAAAGTTCAATTGATAAGTTATTTGAAAATATGCAAGTAAATCGGCTAACGTAACAATTTATTAGTGCGTGCTTTAAGCCGAATATTTATATAAACTTAATATTTAATAGAAGTTCGTTGAAATATAAATTTAATTTTTAAGAAAATTTTTTGTTGTAATTTTATTTACATTTAATTTATATTTAATTGTTGTATTTTATAAGTTCGGTGTTATAATTTACTCGTATACATACTTTTATAATGACACAATAATAAAAAAATAAAGTTGTAGGTTGTATAACTTTTTCTATCGAATACGTATTATTAATTCATAGTGGAGGCAAAAACATTCAGGAATATTTTTTGTAGTGCTCGATCAATAAAATTTGGTTTGTTGTAAAACTGATTTTCTCTCACCAGTGCGTATTATGTAAAACTGATATAAATGTATAACGTTAGCAGGTACGTTCACTGAACACCGATGGCTGATTTTAATTGTATTTTACATTGGTAATTTTTTTTTTTTTGTTGCACTCAATTATTTTTATAAACGGTCACAAATTATCGTTTTCATTTTTTCATATCGTTTTTATGTTTTTTATTATTGTTCACAATTACTCAGTTCTGAGGATTTATTTCAATAAAACGTTTTCGCTACAGGTTATGATAATTTCACATTATTTCATTTGCAATCATAAATCATGTGTTTAATTGTTTAAAAGTTGCACTTGGTACATATGATATGATATGATGTGATAATCATAAAATATGATGAAAATATTATCCGTCGCTGTTTACCTGTTTCAATTGGCAACTACATGGAAATTCAATTGATCCGACGAAAATATCTTTAGGCACACCCATGATAATCACAACGGACATTTACGGCTCGTAAAACGGTATCACATGGTATGGCTGCGGTGTACCTGACACAGCTATCTGGGGAAAATAAACAGCTGTGTAACGCACTCGTTTATTTTATACCATAATTTGATAAGCACATTATACATAAAACGCGTGACAGTGGCGGCGTTCGTATATCTCTAAAATATATTTACAGGCCATTGCATTCCACCGCGGTGTATCTCATACATAAAACGTAATTAAAACTAATGGGGAAACTTTCATGGGCCTCTCGACCGTCCAAGTCATGGCGATTATATACTCCCGCTAAAATAATATCATCGTTAGTCGCGGCATGGCGACAATGTATTGTTCACAATAGAAAACGCCGGTATAAACCACATGCTTAACCACTAATTACAATAATGAAGATTATGCAAACAAAAGCGCACGAGTCCAGCGACAGTGTACTTAAACTGTTGTACGTTCTGCAAAACTATATCTATATGAATTAACGAACGAATGCGAATCGTACCACGCCGAGTATGTATGACATTGTTATGTCATATACGTGAATCGGTCGATGGAGCTACAAAACGCATTAAGAAACGCAATGGTGAGAGAGAAAGATATGTTGTTCATTTATCATACAGATTTTCGTTTTATTCGAGAAACCGTCGGAAATTAACATGAAATTGTTACGTCGTAAATAGTGCGTTTGTGTTAGTGTCAAAATCAAGCATTAGCTGAACCAGTTTTCGTGAGCTGAGAAAATAAAAATAAAATTGTTCGAAACGAAATTAAATATTTTGATCCATCAGTTTCCATAAATGGAAAAAATATCTGCGTTCCTGCGAAACGTGAACCGCATGAGACATTTATTAATCGTTAGCTGTTACGTATATTTACGTACAATTTGCACGTATGAAAATTATCATAACCGCTGTCCTAGAGATTAAAATATTTACTTTATTTGTTTTTAATTTAATATCCAGAGTGAAACGAGGAATGCATGCCCTTATCGAAGTTTACAACGTTTGGAACGCAGGATCGAAGCATCAATAGAATCGCAACTGTATATGTTCGATAGAACGACTACGCTCTAAAAAGTATAACAATAACGGCAATGT